GGCTTTTCTTGGCTAGGGGAGGGAGATCACTGACCTCTTGCAGTTCCCTGGTGAAGCAATGCCCCACCCTGCTTTGGCTCACTCTCCTTGGGCTATACCCACTGTCTAACCAGTCCCAATGAGATGAACCAGATACCTCAGCTGGAAATGCAGTAATCACTCGCCTTTTGCATTGGTCTTGCTGGGACCTGTTCCTATTCAGCCATCTTGCCTGGGCAGTGTATTTTCTCTTTTTTTTTTTTTTTTTTTTTGAGACTGAGTTTCGCTCTTGTTGCCCAGGCTAGAGTGCAATGGCTCATTCTCGGCTCACCACAACATCTGCCTCCTGGGTTCAAGGGATTCTCCTATCTCACCCTCCCGAGTAGCTGGCATGCACCACCACACCTAGCTAATTTTGTATTTTTAGTAGAGACAGGTTTTCTCCATGTTGGTCAGGCTGATCTCGAACTCCCAATCTCAGGTGATCTACCTGTCTCAGCCTCCCAAAGTGCTGGGATTATAGGCATGAGCCACCACACCTGGACTGTACTCTTTAACTATCTTACATATGTCAGTTATGAGCTTGATTTTTCAGCACCCTGGAATTCATTCACTCAGAAAGATAACATAGATATAACAGTCAAGATAATTTTCATGTTGAGGGTGAAATAAAGACTATCCACAATATTGTCTTTTTATTTTTACTTCATTGCCACATTATATAAATGGGTGAGTAACAGTTATGCCTCTGAACTGTTTTTCACAGAACAGGAATGACCTGTTAGCATTTTCTTTGCTTTTGAGTAATGAAAGTGGTCAAGAGCTTGAACTGAGGAATTAGACAAACTTAGTCTCAGTGATGCTACTAGCTGGCTCTTTTTCTTTAGGCAAATTTCTTAATCTCTCTAAGCTTCAGTTTTGCCATAAAAGTGGAATAATAATACTTACCGTATAGAGCTAATATGAGGATAGAGATAACATGTTAACACAGTAACTCACATATAGAAGATGCTTGTTAAGAGTTAGTTAAAACAGATGTTTCTGTTGATGATGTTGTTATTGCTATTACAAATATTATTATTATCATTGAACATGGTCATTTCATTTTTACAGTGGTCCCCTAAACCAAGGAAAAGTCATTGGGAAATAATCACAGGGAGTGTACTTATATAAATAATGGCCTTTGTTACATATTATACATTAATAAACTTTACTTTTTAGCATGTTTTGAGTCCCTTTAAACTAAAACTTTTAGAGAGGAAAAAAGATTTTTTTATTTTTATTTAAAAATTTAAAAATTTTTATTTAAAAAATTCTCTTGGAACTGGCATGGTGGCTCACGCCTGTAATCCCCAACATTTTGGGAGGTTGTGTGCAGCAGGAGGATCACATAAACCCAGGAGTTCAAGATCAACCCAGGGAACATAGTGAAAACCAGTCTCTACCAAAAACAAACAAACAAACAAGAACCAGCTTAAAAGATTAGCTGGCCAGGTGCAGTGGCTCATGCCTGTAATCCCAACACTTTGGGAAGCTGAGGCAGGTGGATCACCTGAGGTCGGGAGTTCGAGACCAGCCTGACCAACATGATGAAACCCGTACTCTAAATAAATAAAAAAGAAAAAGAAAAAAAAAAGGATTAGCTGGGTGTGGTGGCACACCCTCTATAGTACTGGCTACTTAAGAGGCTGAAACAGGAGAATCACTTGAGCCCAGGAGTTTGAGGTTACAGTGAACTATGATCACATGCTGCACTCCAGCCTGGGCAACAGAGTGAGACCCTGTCTCAAAAAGGGAAAAAAAAAAAATCCTTCTATCTTATATCTTTGAATTGCAAAAACCTGTATTTTAGAATCAGTTATTTTAGACATTAGTCCAATACAGAAAGCAAGGTTCTCTGCAGCAGACCATTCTGAGGTTGTAGGGGTATTGTTGGAAAAAAATATAATTAGGATTTATTATAAATTCTTGTATTTCTTTGTTTTTTTGTCAGTGAAGCCATCACCCCTGATTGTTGCTTTAGGCCATCAATTGAGGTGCACCGCAAGGGGTAAATTGTTCTACACATTAGTAAAGTGGGTAAGCAAATTGTTGAGCACACCTAATTTGTTTCCTAGAGAAAGTGGCTAACGTACAATTTTGAAAATGGAAATATTCATAAATTGGGTGACTATGGTGGAATAGATCCGTTGTGAAATAACCACTACCTTTAAGAATTCTGTACTCATTAGTAAGACTGACAAAAAAACAGTTCTGTGACTGAGGTAAACACAAGGTTGTAGCAGCCCAGCCTTTCCTCAGGCTTGGGGAAGATGTGACAGACAGGAGAGAAGAGTCAGAAGACTTCATGATATTGATATCTATTCTGGGCCTTGAAGATGAAGTGGGAGTTGGTTATGTAGATGAGGAAGGAGGGAACGAGGGTAAATTATTCCAGGTTGACAGAGCAACACGTTTGAGGAACTATAAGATAGGGGAATAGGATGATAATACTGGGCATTAGAGAAGAATGAGATTTTTCTAGACGTAACTTTTTTGCACTATATAGCCTATCAGTTAGAAGGTCTGTCTTATGAAGAAACTAGTCAGTTCAGAGGAGGAAAGTGATAGAAGTAGTATTCATTAAACTAAATATTTTATTCTATTGACTTGGTCAGTCAGTTTCAGTAAACACTCTTGAGCCTGATGATCTATTTGGGCATCAATTTGTTTTTATTTTTACTTTGTAACTTGGAAAAATTTTTTCAAAATCTTTACATGGTTCTCAATACTGGTTTCACAATATAATCACATGAGGAAATTTTGTAAAAATAATAATGTGGATTTGCTATAAAATATCCCAATGGGAACTTTTTTAATCTTAGGGGTGGGGAAATAGATGATAATAAGATTTGCAAAATATTGCTCATCATTGACACTTGGCAATATATTTCCATTATGTTTGTATATGTTTAAGCATTCATATAATTCAAAGTTTAAAAAGTAAAATTAGAAGATTTTTCCAACAGCCACCAAAAAATACCCACACTTGGGCCCCATCCTAAACCAATTAGATCAAAATGCCTTGGAGTTTAGGACCCTGGCGTGTGTGTGTGTGTGTGTGTGTGTGTGTGTATTTTTTTTTTTTAAGTTCAGCATCTTTATAGTGTTTAGCCATGGTTGAAAACTTTTACTTTATAAGATGGACAAACAGGGATTATTACTCTCAATTACAGGAGAAAAACAGAAGGGATATGTGTTCTGTTAAAAGGCCACACAGATATTAAAGAACATAGTCATTACATTATCAGCCTCACATTTTGATATTCCTTTTATTTCACTGCTCGGCTTCTCTGTTGCCTGCTATCAAAGGAATTATTTTCTTGCTAGTTAGTGTCACATGGTATCTTCAGAACTATACTATATTGAACATATCTTAGTCCCTAAAACTCTGTTCTGGAGCCTCCGTAGTTCCTGTTCTTCCTCAGACTGGCATTGAGTGTTGAGTGCAAGCAACAAAGTTTGCTAAATTGGTCTTATCTGTGAGTGGGTGCTTGTAGTTCAACCTGCCATTTTTTTTTTTTTTTTGGCCCGTAAGAAAGCAAGCAGTGTAAGTGCCTCTAAAGAAGAAAAGATGCTGATACATTTCTTATGCCCTCTGTGCTACGGCAGTAAATCTACATGCAAATTAAAGATTTTGGTGATAAATGAGAACACCCATTATGATTGCAGTCTCTTCTTAACTTTCCTGTGTATTGTTAATTCATAACATAGTTTGAATGGACTTACTATTATTGATTCCTACAAGGGAAATATGGTTATCAGATGCTTGCTTTCTCATAGAATAAAAAGACCTTGTAGGATATAAACTGTGAGAATGACAGTTAAATTGATAATGGTGAAGGTTAATGCTTGCTTGCTGCATTGATGTTGGAGGTCCCAATCATTTACCACTGTGCTCTTATAATACATGCAGTACATCTTCATTAGGAAGGCATGTAGCAATCAGTTTCAGGTTTCTGGATGAGCCTGTGGCCAGGCCATAATTAACCTTTTGAACTTGGAATTGTAGCAGAATGTACTATTGGCTTAGGTTATCAATTATGGTTAGAGTCGATTGATATTCAAAGAAGGCTTATTAGTGATAGATACTATAATTTACTCATCTTCCCATTATGTGCTTAACAAATAGAAATGGCATAACAAATAATTTTGTTTTTTTCTTTTGGAAAGAGATTTTTTGCCAGACAGTACTATAAACAACAGCTGTTCTTTGGGTTTTTTCTTGGGGTAGAGGGAAGGTCTCAATTTTCAGTATTGTTTTCAGTTTACTAATAATGAAGCAGTCCAACTAATAAGGGGACTTTTAGAATTACGTATGTCAGATTATACTAGAAAAAATGCATAGCATGCTTTAAAAATAATTTTTAAAAATTAAACTGAAATAATGTATGTATGTACGTATGTATTTAGAGACAAGGTCTCACTGTGTCACCCAGGCTGGAGTGCAATGGTACAAACATAACTCACTGCAGCCTCAAACTCCTGGGTTCAAGCAATTCTCCTACCTTACCCTCCCAAGCAGCTGGGACCACAGGCATGCACTACCATGCCATGCTGATTTTTTTATATTTTGTAAAGATGGAGACTCCCTGATGTCCAGGCTAGTCTCAAACTCCTGGGCTCAAATGATCCACCTAGCTCTGCTTCCTAAAATGTTGGAATTACATGCATGAGCCACCACCTCCGGACGTTAAAATTTTTGTGTCTTCTTTTTCTATGCAGTATTTCACTCAAATAAAATAGTATCTATCAGAAAAATGAGTGATAGAGTTTTGCTTACTTTGGAAAAACTTAATAGAACATTTGTTAATTAGGTAAAACTGAAAATATGAATTGCCAATCTAAATGAAGGGAAATTTACCGTTTTTATGAATTTCAAATTATCTATTATAGTTTAAAGATAACACCCAAATGAAGCAGCTATTTGTTTTTAAGCTACAGTTGTTTATTCTGTTAACTTATCCTATTAGTTTTAGAAATAATGTTTTATTAAAATCAAATATGCCAAAAAAGGTCCCGCAGAGCTGAGCAGTCAAGATGTGTGACTTCACCGAAGACCAAACCTCAGAGTTCAAGGAGGCCTTCCAGCTGTTTGACCGAACAGGTGATGGCAAGATCCTGTACAGCCAGTGTGGGGACGTGATGAGGGCCCTGGGCCAGAACCCCACCAACGCCGAGGTGCTCAAGGTCCTGGGGAACCCGAAGAGTGATGAGATGAATGTGAAGGTGCTGGACTTTGAGCATTTTCTGCCCATGCTGCAGACAGTGGCCAAGAACAAGGACCAGGGCACCTATGAGGATTATGTCGAAGGACTTCAAGTTTTTGACAAGGAAGGAAATGGCACCGTCATGGGGGCTGAAATCCGGCATGTTCTTGTCACACTGGGTGAGAAGATGACAGAGGAAGAAGTAGAGATGCTGGTGGCAGGGCACGAGGACAGCAATGGTTGTATCAACTACGAAGAGCTCGTCCGCATGGTGCTGAATGGCTGAGGACCGTCCCAGTCTCCCCAGTGTCCGTGCCTTTCCCTGTGTGAATTTTGTATCTAGCCTGAGGCTCCCTAGGCTCTCTTGTCTCAGCACCTGTCCCGTCTTGTCTCTCTTGGATGATGTTTGCCGTCAGCATTCACCAAATAAAACTTGCTCTCTGGAAAAAAAAAAAAAAAAAATCAAATATGCCTTAGAAGTCATTTCTAGAAAAAAAGTTGCACTGAGGTTTTATTTATTGAAGTTTTATCTGTTGTAATTTGACGTGCATATTGTTTTGAAATGACAGTCATCCTTTGGTATCTGTGGAGGATTGGTTCCGAGACACCCCACAGATACCAAAACCCATGGATACCTTGGTCCCTTGTATAGAATGGTGTAGTATTTACATTTCACCAATGCACATCCTGTCACATACTTTATCTCTATTTTGTTATCTCTTTAAAAGGAGGCTTATCGACTGTCACCAGACTCATGAGAAAGGAAACACTGATTGATAGATCTGGGAAAGGAACAGCAGAACAAGTGATGATTTTGACTTAAATTCTCTTAAAGATTTCATGTAGCCAAAATAGTATTGTCTGTCTGTGATGACAAAGACCTGCTTGCAGCATAATATCCTTTGTTTCCATGGTATAATCTTACTTTCCTTTTAAGTATATGCCTTTTGTTGTTGGGACACAACCTGCCATTTTTATCCTGTAAACATTTATTGAAGAGATATAATTTGCAAGGAATAAAGCAAAGCTGTGGAAAAAATTTAGAGACAGCGCAAGAAACAAAGTAGGAAAATTCCAGGCCATCTTGGCTTTGTCAAGTATTAGCTCTATACCCACGAGCAAAGTTATTATGTAACTTGCCTGAGTCTTGGTTTCCCCTTTTAAACTTGGGGATAAAAATCCCTATTTCAAAATCATGTCTGGCATAGAGCAGATAGTTAATAAAAGCTGGTTTTCTTTCTTTCTTCCTGCTTCCCCATATGGCATATGTACAGCATAATTGTAATCAAGGAACCCAACCAAACTGCAGGTGGTGTAAATAGTAGCTAAAAAAAATGGATTGCCTTTTTGATTTTTTTTTTAGCTAGTTGACTGTGTATAGAAATGCTACTGATTTTTATATGTTGATTGTGTATCCTGCAACTTTACTGAATTCACTGATGAGTTCTAAATGTTTTTTGGTAGAGTCTTTAGGTTTTATCTGTATATAGGATCATGTTATCTACAAACAGGGACAATTTTACTTTCTCCTTTCCAATTTATATGGCCTTTATTTCCTTCTCTCGTCTAATTGTTCTGGGTAGGACTTCAGTGCTATGTTAATAAGAGTGAGAGTGGAAAACCTTGTTGTTCCAGTTTATAAAGGAAAAGCTTTGAGATTTTCTTCACTCAGTATGATGCTAGCTGTGGGTTTGACATATATGGCCTTTATTGTGTTAAGGCAGTTTCTATACCAGATTTATTGAAAGTTTGTATCATGAAGGGATGCTGAACTTTTTGTCCTTCATTCTGTCAATGTGACATATCACATCTGTTGATTTACATATGTTGAACTATCCTTGCATACCTGTGATAAATCCCACTTGATTATGGTGTATTATCTTATGTGCTATTTGATTCAGTTTGCTAGTATTTGTGAGTTTTGTATCTATGTCCATGAGGGATATTGGCTTGTAGTTTTCATTTTTTTGTTGTCCTGATTTTGGTATCAGAGTTATAGTGGCCTTATAAAATGAGTTAGGAAAGATTTCCTTCACATCATTTTTTTAATAGTTTGAAAAGACTTGATATTAATTTTTCCTTAAAGATTTGGTAGAATTAAGCAATGATGCCATCTGCTCCTGGACTTTTCTTTGTTGGGACTTTGGTACTATTTTGAGTAACAGTGGTGAAAGTGGACATCCTTGTTGTGTCTCAGATCTTAGAGGAAAGTCTTTTGGTTTTTTTCATTTCCCTATGATACTAGCTATGGGTCTGTCATATATGGCTTTGTTATGTTGAGGTATGTTCTCCTTGGTAAGGCTTTCTAGGTATTCAAAGGAACTTGGACCACAAGCCCAGTAATGCTGTGGTTTTTGCAGATGTATAGAGGTACTACCTTGGAGGTCTTGGATAAGATCCCAAAGAATTCTCTCTGTTATCAGGCATAGGCTCTTGTCCTTTTCCCTTACTTTCCTCCAAATAAATGGAGTCTCTCTCTCTCTCTCTCTCTCTCTCTCTCTCTCTCTCTCTCTCTCTCTCTCTCTCTCTCTCTCTGGACTGAGCCACCTGGAACTGGGAGTGTGGTGATGCAAGGAACTCTTGGTCACTACCACTGGAACTGCTGTGGGTCAGACTTGAAGCCAGCACAGCATTGCACCTTCCCCAAGACCCTTCCTTTTAGGGCAGCGAGTTTCCCTAGGCATATCTGTAAATGCTGTCTGGGAATCAGGCATTAGAGTTAAAAAACCTTAGCAATTTACCTGCTGTTCTAGTCTACTGTGGCTAAGCTGGCACTCAAGTCATAATCAAAAGTTCTTCCTTCTCTTTGCCTATCTCCAAGTTTAGAAATTCTTTCTTCTCCTTGGTCTAGTCTGTTGAAACTCTCAATTGTATTTTTCATTTCATTCATTGACTTGTTTATTTTTAAGCTCTCTGTCTCTTAATTGAATTTCTCATTCAAATTGGGAATTGTTTTCTTGATTTTCTTGAATTGTGTAGCTGTATTCTCTTGTATCTCACCGAATTTTCTTAAGAATGTTGCTATGAATTATTTTTCTGGCATTTCATACATTTCCTTGTGATTGGAGTCTGTTACTAGTGAATTATTGTGTTCCCTTACACATATTATGTTTTCTTACTTTTTCATGTTTTGTATGCCCCTAGGTTGATTTCTATACATCTGGTTTAAAAATTGTCTCTTCCAATTTTATGAAGTAGGTTTGACAATGATTTATTCATATGAATCAGTTTTTCATTTATAGAGATTTATTCGTATGAATGGATTTGGTGTGGTTTGGTGGCTTTGGTTTTATGTGAATGCAGCAGTGAATTCTGTGTAGTTTTTTTCAGCTGTAATCCATGCTGGTAATGTATATAAGTGTCTCAGTGGCCAAAAATGAGAGACTTTATGGTGCTAGTGGTTCAGCTTTGCTGAGGGTGGACTCACAAGGCTATTCTTAGGTCAGGAGTGTCTGTGTGCCACAGTGGGTCTGCCAACTTGGAGCTGGCATTGGGGTTATGGGTTGTTACCCTGACCAGGAGCGTGTGTACACAGTTGCTCAGCTGGCCTGGCAGTGTGCTTGCCAGGGGTGGCCATTGGGGCTATTTCTCAGGCTTGGGACATGGGTGCATAACTGCTCTACCAGCCTGGGGGCATGTGTGCCAGGGGCAGTCTGTGGGGCTGCTATTCAGGCCTGGAAAGCAAGTGCGAGGCTGCTTTGCCAGACAGCATTGTGTCTTCCAAGAGTGGACTGGGGAGCTGTTTCTCCAGATCTGTTGCAGACACAGGGCCATTGCACAGATAGGAACTTATCTGCAGAGTGTGGGGTAGCAAGGCTGCTTCTCAGGTTCTGAGTTGGCTGATTAGCAGTTCTGCTGGCCCAGTAGTATGTTGGCTATTCAGAGGCTTGAGAGCTTCTCCCACTCAGTGCAGAACATGCAGCAGTTTGTCAGGCTGAAGGGCAGGTTCACACTAGGTAAGACTGCCAGTTCTGGGTGGAAGTCAGGGCAATGGGAGGTGGTTTTCCGATTGTGCAGGACCAGAGTCACAGCTACTCCTGGGCCCAGGCTCCATGCAGCTAGGTTTGTGGTGTTCAGCCACTGGTGTGGGCTTGGTGAAAAGATGGGAGCTGCAGTTCTGGATAAGTGCAATAGCTACTCACCCACACCCCCGCCAAGAAGGGCACACTCCAGGGGTGCCTCTGATCTCAAGACAGCACTGTGCTACAGCAGCTTGATTTGTGGGGTGAGTAGAGGGCGGGAGGCTTGTATTCTTTACTCAAGGCAAGCAGTTGTATGAATTTCCAGCAGTACTTTAAACTGGGCTCAGGGCTTGAGAGGACTGTTGCATTCTCCTGTAGTAAGGACTACAGTTGTTTTTGGTGGCATTAGGGGCCAGTGGGGTTCTTCTGCTTAGTTTTTCCCTGCAATAGGACCTCCCTCCTGACTGAAGGCAGATCTAGTACACACAGGGAAGATGGAGTGCAGAGGTCACTGGTAGCTCAATGCTGCCCTCTGGACTTCCAGTCACCATAGGTCTGTCTCCGTTCCCCTGCTGTACTCTAGCACTCTCCTTTCATCACTCCATTCAAATCTCATCTGTTTATTTGTTGCCTTGGTTTTATTTCTTTCGGGATCAATGATCATCAGGTATCTCTGGTCAACAATCTTGCTGACATCTTGCTTGTGTATTTCAAGAAAGTTTGAAAGTGTGCTTTGGGTGTGACCAAGATGACTGACTACAGGTGACTAACACTTGCCTTTTCCACAAATAAGGGACTAAAAAAGTAAATATAAATGAACATTGAATAGAGCTTCTAGGAAAAAAATACATGGAAGTGACAGGAAACCTCTGAGGTACAGCAAGGGGAAGTGAAGCAACAAGCCTGTCCAGGATTGGCTGAAGCCAGGAGGAGCTCCACATTGCAAGTGAAAGGCAAGCAAGAGATCCCTAGCAGTCCCCGTTCCCACTGCAGACTTCTGCAGTCCTAGCCATAGGAGTGCTCATTTGCCTTTGGAGGCCCTGAGATTAGTATAAGAAGCTACTTGTAGTCCATACAGTGGCATTGTTCTAGAGAGGGAGTTTGTACTATTTCTCACACACACACCCCAAGCAGCTGCAGCATAGTGCCATTTTGAGAGCCCAACCACTGCCAGATTACATTCTGCCCTGGAGCCCAGCAGCCTTTGTATTTCCACATACCTGGACCCCCACTGGCATCCTCCCATGTCCATTCAGAGGGCTTCAGTGCTGTGATGCTGATTGGACCCATTGGTGCAACTAGGTTCCCAACACTCTAGCCAATGCAGTCCTCTGCACCACAACTAGAGGAGGGGGATGGCTCTGCGACAAAAGGAGCCAAAGCATGCACTCCCCAGAGCCTGAGAACTGCCTCCCTGGTGCTGCTGCCATAGACAGTAATTCTACCCCTTCTACTGGTAGGGTGCTGGCACTCCTGCATGTGTCTTCAGAGGCCCTGGAGATTGACCCA